AGAATTTTTTCTTTAATTTTTGTTGTCCCTATGTTGGCCAGGGCGTGTTTTGTGTGTGCATATTTTATTTTCATTTATCTTATAAAAGTTGGTTCCTTTATGGAAAAAAAAGACGGACATAAGCTTGTTAGTTGTTACAATGTACTTGTTCTCTGGTAAGTAAAAACTAAAAAGCTGCAAGAACAATTTTAATTGCTTTTGGATTTGAACTGAATTGAAGTCTTGAAAATAGTTTAGATCCTCAAAAACACTCGTAATGGAATTTGTTTTTTACTGCTGCATCTCAAATGAGTTAAGATATAAGATTTCTATTGTTCTTATAGAAAAATATAGTCTTATAAACGTGATATTTATTATAAATGTTGTATTAATATAATCTTGTATTACTAACACTAATTAATTGTTTAAGGATCTTCTGGCTTTCTTATTTTATTTCTTTTCCTTTTTTTTAATTTTTAAATCTGTTTGCTGCAGGTTTGTTGTGGACCTTGGCTACAGTAGATAACTGATGCTTTTTTGTTGTCTTGCTGTGCAGCTTCTTGGACGGGTATTCAACATTCTTAGAGAAAATAATCCAGAACTTGCCGGGGATAGGCGTAGAACAGTCATGAGGCCTCCACAAGTTCTTCGTGAAGGCACAAAGAAAACTGTTTTTGTCAACTTCATGGATTTATGTAAAACGTATGTGTTCATTAGCCTTATATGACCATGTTTTTTCTTTCGTGAATTTTTATCACGTCATGATCATAGTCCTAGTGTAAAAGCAACCAAGAGGACTGAGGACATTGTTTCTTCTAGTCTGTTTCTGCCCAGCAATGGCTTTCTGTAGTTCAAGCATTTTGAGGCTTTCAATCTTAGCTGGACCTTTTAGTACAAACCAGTCTCCCCAAGATGAGAGTTGGCACCGACTCTTCTCGATCGATGAAGGTAGAAAGGAAAAGGTTCTCTTTTCGGTGAGTTGGAAGTGATAAGGAGGTAGTGATAGAGGAGTTCAGCAGGGGTAGAGCTTCGTCCTTGTGTCTCCCGTTGGGTTGGGTAGCATGGGTTAGGGACTGTTTTCATGTGATTGGGTCAATGGCGATAGTGGAGCGGTTTTTCAGGAGATGGAGCTCACCAGCAGGTTTGATTTGGGTTCAATTGGTGGTTAACTCAAGAAGATGTTGTGTAGTAGTTTTGGAGGCGAAAAAAGGAAAACGTGCAAAGTTGTTTGTCCCAGAAGGTTTGAAGGGTCAGGGTTGGCGATCGTTCGGGGAAACGTTGGGTTTGTTTCTATCTCACAGGTCCCCTAAAAGAAATCGGGGAGAAAAGGTTGGAATTTCTTGTTGTGTCCGTCGAGAGGACACCTCGTTTACGCAAGCGGTGTCGGGTAGGAAGCAGGAGTCGGTTCCTTCGGAGTCTCTTGATGAGAATGTTAGCTACCTTTTCGATACTTCTAAATGTTTGATGCTGATAAGGGAGAGAGCGATCGACTCTTGGGCTAACATCGAGCGGGCAGTTCGAAACTTTGTAGGTGAAAGTTTACAAATAAACAAGATGTGTTGCAATTTGGCGGTGATTCTGTGTGAAGATCAAAAGAAGTTCTCCCTGTTGAGGAATTTTGGTCGAGGGGTGTTAGGAGGTTGTGCGGTTAATCTAACTCAGTGGAGTGCGAAGTTTGTAGCGGATAATAGATGTCAAATATTCTACAATGTTTGGGTGAAGATTTGGGATCTTCCTCCGCATCTTCGTACCGTGGAAATTGTTAGGAAGCTTGCTTCCCTTTGAGGAGGGCTTGCAGAGCAAAAGGAAGGTATCTTATTTGAGAGTTTGTGGGAGGAAGATGTTTGGTTTGAAGCTTCCGGAAGAGAAAATGGCTTCATCCCGAAAGGTTGCTTTCTGACCTGTGAGAACGTGAAATTTCCAATCAGCTTCTTGCCGATGTTTCTTGTGGACGTTGAAGGGGAAGACGAAGTTGAGGGTTTTCCAAAGGCCGTAGGTTTTTAGAACAAAGTAGAAGGGAGGCCGTCAGGGAGTGACGTGGCTGCTCCTAAGCCTTCAATTTCGTTGCCATTTCAGGTAATTTTTCAAATCGTGATGGGTCATTGGACGGAATGGGCCGCCCTTTTGCAGCTGGGCCTGAAAGCAAAGTAGGCTGTATTCATCTCCTTTAGTACATGAGAAATCTTCTAAGTTTAATGGCTAGAGGTTAGAGTGGGTGAAGATCCAGAAAATAATGGGGAAGGTGGGCCGACGGTTTGTTGTGGAGGCTCGTTTGGCAAGGGGGAGAGCTTGGTCGATCCAGACTCGGTTCGTTGCGATGATATGGGTGATTCTGGTTTGTTTTCTCCTATTTTTGAATATCGGCATCCTTTGTCGTCTCTGGATCCTTCAATTGCGAGTCTTTTGGAAGGTGATTCATGCGTTAGTGGTCTGGACGGGTTGTTTGATGTTGAGGATGTTGTGGAGGGCGGTGCACGGCCCTCTCCGGTGCAAACTGAGAAAGCGGGTGGTTTGTTAGGCATTTTTAAGGAGTCTACCTCTTCGGTCCTTTCTAAGGAAGATCCCTCTGGTTCTTTCTGTCGTGAGTTACCCCAGGTAAGAAGGCCAGGTATGTTCTTCTTCTTCTTTAATTTTTAATCCTTTGATGCTGGGTGCAACCAAGGGTTTGATGGGGGGTGTTCCTTGCCGTCTGAGCTGGGCGGGGTTGATGTTGTCAAGTCGGGAGTTCAGGTAAATTCCAATAGCCTTCCGGGGGCTGGTTGTACCTTAGTTGCCGCAAAACCCCAGGTTTTCTGTTCGGGTGAGGCTATTCCGGCTCTGAATCCGTTGGCCGTTGATGTTAGTAGAGTGGTGGAAGGCCATAACAGTTTAGCTGCAAGCCTCTTAATTCTTCGAGCTCCCAATGCTGCCTCTTCCAATTTCAATTTCCAGTCTCACCTTCTTAGTGATTGGTTTGGGTGGTGCTCCCTTCTTTCAAGTGTGGGCCTTCAAATAGTCCCCATGGAGGAGTCTAGTCCTTTGGTTGAAGTGCCTCCTAAGGGAAGGAAGGTGGGTGGAAGATCAAGGGTGGCTTCGGTTTCTAAAGGAAAGAGGGAATTGAAAATTTTGATGTGTTCTATTAATTATGATAGAAAGAAGGCTTCTTCAGAAACCAAGGGCAAAAAATGTATCCAATGAAGTTGTTGGCTTGGAATGTGAGGGGATTGGGGGGTAAGGAGAAAAGAAGGTTGGTCAAAGAGCTTCTTAGATTAGAGCATCCCGATTTAGTGATTCTGGTGGAAATGAAAAAGGAAAGTTATTGTGGAGAGTTTGTTAAAAGTTTGTGGAATGATCGTCATGTCGAGTGGGTAGGGTTAGGGTCATCGGGGGCTTCGGGAGGGATCCTCTTGTTGTGGWATAGTAAGGTTCTTAAGTAATTGGAGGAAGTGTAGGGATCGTATTCCCTATCGGTTGCCTTTAACTCCCCTTCAGTGGGGATGGGTTGGGTTTCAGGGGTGTACGGTCCACCGTCTCCTAAAGGTCGTAAGGAGTTTTGGGAGGAGATTGGTAGTCTTTTTGGTCTCTGTGGTGAGCGCTGGTGTTTAGTAGKAGATTTCAATGTTGTTGGATTCCCCTTTGAGAAGTCTTCGGCCGGTAGATTTTTGAGGTCTACAAGGGAGTTCAACGGCATCGTTGAAGATTTTAGGTTGTTGGACCCTACCTTCGTCAATAGTAGGTTTATGTGGTCTCGTCAAGGGGTTGGTTGTAGGCTGGATAGATTCCTTTTGTCTAAAGGTTGGTTAGACGATTTTTTGAATGTGAAGCAATCTTTGAGTCCCAAGATTACTTCTGACCATTGACCATTGGCCTGTCAGTTTAGATTCAGGAGCGATAAAATGGGGTCCCTGCCTGTTTAGGTTTGGAAATATGTGGCTCTCTCACCCTTCTTTTAAAGCTTCCTTTCCATTATGGTGGAATTCAGAAGTTCAGGGGAGGTGGGAAGGTTTCCGCTTTATTAAAAGGTTAAAAGCCCTTAAAGCTTCTTTTAAAGCCTGGAATGCTGCTACTTTTGGAGATATTAGGTTGGAAAAGGTGGAGATTCTTGAGAAGCTAAAAGTCCTAGATAATCTCGAAGTGGAGGGGACTCTTTCTCCGGAGCAGTTGAAGGAAAGGTGTTAGATTGAAAGGCTGTTTGGAAAGGTGCTTTGTAAGGAGGATCAAAGTTGGAGACAGAAAGCTACGTTCAAATGGGCCAAGGAAGGAGACTGTAATTCCAAGGTTTTTCATAATTTGGCTAACGGAAGAAGAAATAAGAACGTCATTTCTTCTTTGGTTAATGAGTCTGGGGAGGTGCTGCATGAGGACCAGAAGATTGAGAAGGATGTGATTTCGTTTTTTAAGAATCTGTACTCCCCAGTGCCGTGTTCTAGGCCTTTCTTGGAAGTTTTGGATTGGAGTCCTATTTCGATGACGGAAAATGATAATCTTGAAGCTCCCTTCTCGTTAGAAGAAGTTCGTCGGGTTGTGTTTGGGTTTGATAGAGATAAATCCCCTAGTCCAGATGGTTTCACCATGGCATTCTATCAAGATAACTGAGATGGAGTTAAGGACGACTTGATGAAAGTGTTTCGAGAGTTTCATAAGAGGGGTGTGATTGATGCTTCTACGAACAAGACATGTGTGTTAGACCTTTTAGTTTGGTAACGAGCCTCTATAAAATAATTGCCAAAACCCTCGCTAACAGGCTTAGAAAGGTTATGCCTTCTAATATTTCGGGGACGCAAGAGGCTTTTGTCGTTGGAAGACAAATTTTGGATCAAGTGTTGATAACTAATATGGTGATTGAGGATTACAAAGAGAGCAAAAGAGAGGGCGTGATTTTTAAGATTGATTTTGAAAAGGCTTACGACCACGTTGATTGGGACTTTTTAGATAAGGTTATATGGAAGAAAGGCTTTGGTTATAAATGGAGAGCTTGGATTTGGAATTGCATTAGGTCAGTTAATTACTCTATCTTGGTTAGGGAGACCTAGGGGTAAAATTCTCGCCTCGAGAGACCTTTGTCAAGGCGATCCTCTTTCCCCTTTCCTGTTTCTCCTAGTGGTGGATATTCTTAGTACGCTAATCTCTGTTGGAGTGGAGAAAGGGGCTTTGGAACCTTTTGAAGTGGGAAGGGAGAAAGTTCGCCGGTCACATCTTCAATTTGTTGATGGTACCATCTTCTTTTGTTCCTGCAAGGTTAGTGCGTTTAATAACTTGAATTGCATCCTTAGCTTCTTTGAAGCGATTTTAGGCCTTAAGATAAATAGGGGCAAAAGTTCTTTATTGGGTGTTAATTGCGATGAAGGTAAGCTTAGCGAGTGGGCATCCCTTGTTGGGTGTGAAGCAGTGTTATTGAGGCGCACTCGGGTGCTCGCCTCAGGCGAGAGGCGAGGCGATTTCGCCCAGGTGCACCTTGTAGGTGCCCAGGCGAGCGCCTGATTGAAGGCGCTCGCCTCTCATCTGAGGCGATCTGCCTTATTTTATTTATTTTTTTAAAATTTTTAATGTGTTTTTTTTAAAGAACTTTTCTCCCTTGTGAGATACCTCAGTCCACAAACCCTAACCATTCTCTCTGCCTCTTGACATTCACCTTCACCACCCTCAATCTCCGGCCATCGCCCGCTCTCGTCTCCGACCATCGCCGTTGCTGCTCCTGTCTCCGACCATCGCCGTCACCACTC